CCCCAATTTTTAAAATGAGAATGATATTCCAGAGACACTTCCCATGGTGGCTATAAGGATTACTGAGGAACATTGTTGGATCAGACCAGCATATGTCTATGTAGCACAGCCAAGAAAACTAAAGCAGACTATGAGAGCAACATATATCCCCTGCTGTTTCCATTTCAGCAGTTTCTAGTAGGTTCTATAGTGCTGCTAAATGTAGAAGTTCCTTATAGTCATCTTGGCTAATAGGTTTAATAATTATAATAATACATTTATTATTACAACATTGTTAAAACGAGATAAAGCATTAAAACATATACAACAAGAATCACTGAATTAAAATACAGTTAAAATCCACTGATGAAATGTATATTAAAATTCACAACTTAAAACTGACTGGGTAGGCCTGTTGGAAGAGTTGTGTCTTCATTTGCATCTCAAATTCTGTCTTCTGATTTACCTGTCGTAGCTCTTCTGGCAGGTCATTCCACAGTCTTGGGGCAACTGATGAAAAGCTTCTGTGGTGACAGTCACCAGTTGGGTTCTGGCTGATTGGTGTAAATGCCCCCCAGAGGACCTAGGTGTGCAAGACGGATTGTACGGGAGAAGGTGATCCTGTAGGCTATCTGGACTCCAACCATGTAGGGCTTTAAATTGGCAACGAGTGGGGTGAATTTAGTGTAGGCATAATATGCTCATTCCTGGATGTTCTTGTAACTAGTATGTCTGCCATGTTTTAAACTAATTGGAATTTCCAAACTTAGTACAAAGGTAGCCCAATGTAAAGCGCATTTCAGAAGTCTAACTTTGAGGTTTCCAGTGCACACACTATCATCTTTAGGTCCTCTGATTCTAGGAAGGGGTGCCGCTAGTGTATCAGCTGAATCTGGTAGTAAGTACTCCTGACCATCACATCTTAATAATAGCTATCCTGTATGTCTTTGTCTACTCTAGACAATTTCATTTTAAAGCTGCTTAAGTGGAGGACGTTACTCCTATCTTGTGACAGTGATTTCTGTAAACCAGTGGTTTATGGTATGATGAGGTCCTTTCTCTTTACTATTGCAAATAAGTTTTCATTGGATAGCTGCCTAGTTGAAATAGTGGCAGAAAAACTTCACTTTCTTGACAGAGGACATAATTAAAAACAAGATATCCTATTTTATCCCTATATTATTGCTTTTCTTCTTAAAGCTGTTTCTGATTCACGGCAAACCTATCACAGGGTTTTCTAAGGCTGTGAGTATGTGACTTACCCAGGGTCATCCAATGAATTTTCATGGTTGAGCAGGGATTTGAACCCTGGTCTCTAGATTTGTAGCCTAGGACTCAAACCATTACACCAGCTCCATAAAATTGCTAACCAGATGGGAGTCCCATGGAACTAAAAAGGACTCACTCCCAACTAAATGTGTATAGGACTGAAGTCTAAAAAGCCTTAAATGCCTTAGCTTGTGGATAATATATGTCAAACATTTTCAGTCTCTTGGAAGTCTCTGTGTGTAGATATAAGAGTGACTTTGTCTCAAATGCTACTGAAATCTTAAGCAAATTTCAAACAGTGAGTCTGAAGAAATCCCAGGTGTAGTTGCTTGTATTGGCAAATAAAAATATAGCACTAGTAACACCATTTATGAATTCTGCATGCTTTTCTTTAGCCTTGTGCAAGCCTGGTTACTCCCTTCCCCTTGTGTAAAACCCCTAGATCGTTTTCCAGACATATTGGGAAACTAGGATGCATTTTACAGGTATAAGATTTTCCCCTGACATTAAGTCCAGTCATGTCCGACTCTGGGGGTTGGCGCTCATTTCCATTTCTAATCCCAAGAGCCGGAGTTGTCCGTAGACATCTCCAAGATCATGTGGCCAGCATGACTGCATGGAGCGCTGTTACATTCCTGCCGGAGTGGTACCTATTAGTCTTCTCACATTTGCATGTTTTCGAACTGCTAGGTTGGCAGAAGCTGTGGCTAACAGCAGGAACTCACACCACTCACCGGATAATAGTACATGAAGTGTAATTGTACTTTGAATGTACTATCCCAAGCAGGTCATGTACTATTCCAGAAGCAGATCAAGACCACCTTCTGCCAACAGGCATTTGGGCAAGAATAAGAGGCATGCTGCTGGGAAGTGTGGGTAGGATTATGTGGGAGGGGGATTGTGGGTTTTAAGCGCTATTTTAAGTGTATTTATTATATTTTAATCTGTTTCTATCTTAATCCACACTGTATAATTTAATTGTTTGTTTTTTTAAATTGTGTTGCACTTCAAAAAATTATGACCAAAGTGTGAGATTGTTAGCCATCTTGAGTCGCCACAAGTAGAAAGGTGGGGTATAAATAAAATAAATAATCTTAGAAATCGCAATTTTCTTCTCAAAGTGTTGAACCAGACATAGTTTGTTTCTCAGGTCTGCAAAGCTAACTGGTAAATATGGGTTAACTCCCGGGGGATGTCAGAAGCTGAAGATGCTTTTTCTGAGTAGATGACCCTACATGGCATTTACAAAACCTCATAAGAGAATAAATTGGACATTTAGGAGGAAATTTGCTTTGTTATGTTCAGGGTGCAGAATATTCTATTCTTCATGCAGAATGTCAAAACCGGAGAGATGATTGCTACCTCTGGTGCAATGCATAACCAAAGTCCATTTATGACAGCTATTGGGCTCAGAAGCTCTGTAGAGCATCCATTTCCCAGTTGTGGAGACCTCTTTTTCTTGTGTATAGGATGCAGACCTTCCATTGCTGGGCCTTCTCAGCCTCTTCTTCTTGCTTCCCTTCTGCCTGTAGAAAGAAGTTTGAAATGTAGGTTGACAGGAAAAAAGGGATGCTTGGATGAATTCTGGGAGGGAGCAAATGTTTTGGGAGTGATACTGCCTGAAACAGTTCATTTTAGTATGTAGAGCTCAAGGAGCAAGGAGTGAAAGCGTGGCAGTCAGGTTGTTCTCTTTCTGTGTTTCCGCTGCAGCATCGCTGGCATCCTTGCCTGGCTTGGGTGGGGCATCCTGGTGTGGGAGCTTCTCAAGGAGACAGAGGCCCAAGCGCTGCTGCAGCTCCCAGGGCGACCTGGGCGGGGTGGGATGCACGGAAGCCATTGGCTCTCCTCTTCTTCGCATCCGAGCTGACGAGTGCAAGGAGGAGTCCTTTCCCCTGCATCCTCGGCAGGGACCTGAGGCAGGGGATTGGCTCTTTCTGCCGCCTAGGTAACCGGCACAGGGCGGAGCCTGGCTCCCTCCGCATCCTCCGCTGTGACCTGGGGGAGGGGATTGGCTCCGGCTGCAGCCTAGGTAACGGGTGTGGGGAGGGGAAGGGGGGTGTTGTCTCCCTCGTCCGTGTGCTGTCTCCTGCAGCCTCAGCACCACCACGGCACATGGGGTGGGGTGGGGATTCCGTCTCTGCAGCTTGGGCTTTGAGCAGGGGGTGGGGATTCGCCGGAACTCCTCTTCCAGCTCTAAGCAGAGGAGAGCTGGGGATTGGATCTCAAGTTGGAGGGAGGGAGGGAGGAGGAGGGCTGGCTATAGCACAGCACCTGTGGGTCACATGTTGGCAAGAAAGGGGGCTTCCAAACAACTCAGGAGCAGCTGGCAAGCCTGCTTCCCCCCTCCCTCCCCAAAAGAACAACTGCTAACTGAAACTGGAGATGTCTGGCCGGCATCCTGCCTGGGTCACCCAGCTCCATTTGCCCGGAATCTGCTCTCAACATAGACCATGATCTGGGTGGACAGCTCTGGGAGCGGCAGCTGGGGACATGAGAAAGGTATCCCTTCCTTTTAACCCTTTTCTCACCACTTTGGCCTGCCTGCCTGCTTTAGATTAGCCACATCTCTCCCCACCAGCCATTGTGTACTTAAAAGGACCTGCAGTGGGCAAGAATTTGGATACTCTGCTTGATAAGGTGCAGGCTGTGAGAGAAGGGGGAAATGGAGTGTATGTAGGCAGGATGGTCTCATGAATACAAATTAGTCTGGGAAGAGTTAAGTGCAGTAGGCACAGTCCTCAATTTTATGGCTGCCTTTCTTTGGTTAGAGAAATAGTAGTGTGTAGATTGATGTGTGTTTGTGCTATGAGATCTTTGTCGACGGAGGAGGAGGAAATGAAGTAGAGGTTTTCTGTGGGAGAATATCTGTAAGAAGGTGCAGACTTTTGTGATGATTGGATAGTACCATTGGGAAAAGTCACGCTGTCATTGATTCATACAGGTTTCCTGGTTTGCTGCACCATAGAAGATAGGGCAAATAGAGGCGGGCCCTTTGGTAAGGAGACAATGGTGTGGTGTGCAAAAAGGTCCTTCCACATCATCACATCATCTCAAGACGTAAATAAAGGGAATAAATAAATAAAACAGCCATCTAGAGTAGAGTTTCTACTTTCTATGGGCATATGGATTTTGAAGGAAAATGGTCAAGGGCAGTTGTTCTTAGTGAGGCTACCCATTTAGATCAGATGCCCCATGGAAGAAGGACTGTCTTCTATGGTAAGAGCAGGGGCTGCCTAGTGCCATCATTAGTAAATGAGATTAATAGCAGAACAGAAGAAGGATATGGAATCCAGGTGGGTCTGTAAATATCTTGATCTTTATAGGGCAATGGGATTTAGAAGAAGTAGTTAGGGAAGATACTATTCTGTCAGTTGGGCCTGAAATATTTAATAGGTAATTGAGTGACACCAGAATTTAACACCCAGCATAGAGATGCTAGAGATAAGAGAATAATTCTGAATCTAGCATGGCTAGATGGAACAGCTACATCTTTGACATTGAATGGGTGGGGATGAGGGCAAATCAGCACACTGTTTACTTGGGTTGTTGTAGGTTTTTCGGGCTATATGGCCCTGTTCTAGAGGCATTCTCTCCTGATGTTTCACCTGCATCTATGGAAAGCATCCTCAGAGGTAGTGAGGCACCTCTGAGGATGCTTCCCATAGATGCAGGTGAAACGTCAGGAGAGAATGCCTCTAGAGCAGGGCCATATAGCCCGAAAAACCTACAACAACCCAGTGATTCTGGTCATTAAAACCTTCGACCATACACTGTTTAGTTTTCTATTCTGTAGGTTTTTTAAACGTAAGAACTCAACTTTGTTAGGTTTTTATCTGTAGAAAGCAGGACAATGAATACATCTGGCATCCCAAATTTTTTATTCTTTTTGTTACTTCTCTATAATGTAGAGATTGAATGGGAGTTTTTTGAGTGTACGTGGAAGGGTATATATCTGTGGAATTGGGAATGTGGAGGGGTGGGGCCCCAAGTCGAGGCCAGTGACAATGGTAGGCTTTCTTGTAACATTAAAAGGAGGAAAAATGTTTGTGTGCCCGAAGATAGACATCTCCCTGTGGATGGCAGATCAAGGGCTGGGCCTGGATGAAAGGAACACACTCCTGCAGTGTGCAAATATAAATATAGCCGGAGGGCGGGTTAGCTTTGGGAGAGGCCTGCCTTGCAGAGGAAGAATGTGCAGGATATCGTGTGGGGGAGGAGAGTGTTTAACGGGAGGTGGCATTCCAGAGTAAAATGCCTGTCTGGTGCTGTTGAGGGCTGGACACAGCTTTGCGGTTGGAAAAGGGAGATTTTTTTAGGGTACATTTGGAGGGCGGTTGCTTTTAGTCTGAAGGGCTGGTTAAAGTAGTCCGAAAGGCTGTCTGGAGCAAGGAGAGCTGGCAAGGCTTTGCACGCATGGCAGGCCGGGTTCTCCAGTTGCATCAGGTGGCTGAAAATGCAGAGAATCCCCACCCCTTTATGCAAATACCTAGAATGGCACCACAGGCTGATGCAAGCCGCTATGGAGCAGCAATCCAGAATGACAATTGGCCCTCCCCTCCCTCCCTCGCCCAGCCAGCCAGCCACCCAGCCGTCTGAGCGGTTAAAGCTGCAGACTTCCTCCTGCCTGGACAGAGCGAACACTGCTGCGTAGCATGGGCAGTGAGGAGGAGACAGCTCTGTTGCTGTTCATGGAGTTCCCGGTCTGTGCCCCGGAGCAGCCTTGTTGCAGAGCCGCTCTTGGCAAGCTCCCAGTACAGAATGGCTGTAGGTGGGGGGAAGGTGTCTGGACCACCCCGGCAACAGGGGTGGTCCAGAAAAGGAGCCAGAGAGGTGGGGCCGCACCCCACTCGGAATGAAACACGGCACTTGGAGGTGAGTGGGGTCAGACGGTGACGGTGTGTTCATCACGGGGAGAAGTTATGCTGGTGCTTGGATGTTGGGGGGCTGGAGGTGTACCAGCTATGGGTTTTACAGGCAAGGGCATCTTTCAGAGAAGGGACTGCTGAAGAATGTATGAATCATAGTCCCCCTTTTTTCCCTTTCAGGACATTGATTTAATTGACATCCTGTGGAGACAGGATATTGACCTTGGAGCTGGGCGTGAGGTTTTTGACTACAGTCACCGCCAGAAAGAGAACGAAGTGGACAAAGAACCAAACAGCGGGGAGGAGTGTGGGGATGGCTGGAGGAACAGAGGGGGCAACATCGCTGACAGGGCCTTGCTAGTGGATGGCGAGACAGGGGAGAGCTTCCCTGCACAGGTAAAAGAAGACAACAACAACAACAACAACAACAAAATGAGAAGGAAGGGTACATTGGGTGGAGTAGGCCATCTTCTTTTCTCCGTGTTCTGAGACTGCTCTCCCTAGCTGCCCAACAGCAGAGAAGAGAGACCTGCAGCTTTCTCTGATTGGCAGATCTTGAAATGAAAGATTCGTTTCTCAAGGGGAAAAGTGAGGGCAGAGAGAGGCTGCATTGCTTGCAAATGTCTTCCACAGCTCTGGAGAGACTTCCTCCTCAGACATAGATGTTCCTTTCCAAGAAGCCAGCAACCATCCTCTGCTCTTTTTTCAGTGCCCTCCCTGCCTTGCCTTTTCCTCCCTTCCCTTTAAGAATAAGGCAGTCTTCTCAGTTGTTACTGTTTGTCTGTCTCTAGATTTTTCTATGTAACTCTTTCTTATATATTAACCTACCCTGATTCTTCACAGTTGGCTGTAAAAACCAATCAAAGCAAATAGCATCTTGATTCTGTGGGTGGCTGCGAGATTCCTGCAGCTGGCCACCACAGGTCTCCTGAGTGCTTGGGCCAGTGCCAGTCCCACCACTTTCCCCTGTTAAAATGCTGCACTGGCTGCATTGGAGGGGTTGCTTTGTATCCCTTTCTGTAAAAGGAATGGACAGGTTAACATCTTCTGGAGTGGTTGGTCCATTTCACAAATCACATGCTGTTAATAAGGCATCCTGATGGAAACAGCCCTTGCAAGCCGTGCTCTTTCCCCTTGCTTTGGGGATACCTCTAATTCTGCACCAAGAGCATTTCCATCTGAATAGATTTGACTCCAGGAGATGTGTCTTGATTGCAGCCTTTGGATTTTTGCCAGAGTTTGGTCGCTTCTTTTGCTGAGAAAGGAGAGGCCAAGGCCAAAGGGAGGCAATTGGGCATCCAGTAGTATTGGGAATCTGGGATGAAAACAACAGGAGATGGCTGTGAAATGTTGAGAATAGTTTTAGCAAACTATCTTGGCTAGATATTTCTGATTCTTAAATTGACAGCCTTGTTACAGACTGGATTGGACTTGGTTATAGGCCTTTGTCTAGACACAGGGTCATAATTCAAAATCAGTCTGTATTTCAATGTGGAAGTATCATACTGGGAGTATTATTGGTGCTTAAAATACTGTAGCGAAGATAAAAGGGGACAAAATAAAAATAAACACAAACAGTAACATTCTGGGGAACATATGTTACTATTTCATATTAAAATATGAACTTCAGTGCTGCCATAGAACAATACAATGCCTCTATTTACCTCTTCCAGGTGCCTGGGGTTGAGGACCAAACGTCTTTGTCCTTGGAGGAGTGCCTTAGGCTGTTGGAGGCAACATTTCCCTTTGGAGAGAATTCGGAGGTTGGTGCATATAGGTGCTTGGAAAAAGGAAGGTGTATTTATTCCTACGCTTTGGTCATTTTGCAGAATATTTTTATTATAGAACTTGGCTCAACCATCTTAATCAGATGCCCTTGCAATAACCTTGTCACGTGGGTTCTGCTCTGAGGGAAATGTCCAACAATACCTTGTGAGCTGATTGTGGAAAAACCCAAGGCCTTGTCTGCTCAGGGGTGAGAAATTTAGCAGACTGAACTGGGTAGATCCTTGAAAATTAAGAAGGAAGCCTTCTCTTGTATTAAGCATAGGGCCAGGAAAGAGAGGTGCTGACAGCACAACATCACAATCTTCCCCAGTACTATAAAAGCATACAGTCATTTAGAGGGAAGGGGATGCAAACAACATTGGGTTCAAACTTGCTCAGTGCAGGATTTCCAGGTAAAGCATCTCCAGCAGGTCCCTGTCCATCCACTTTTTGAAGATGTCCAGAGAAGCAGATCCCACCCCCTCTTTAGGCAGTTGACTCCATTGACAAACCAACCCTATAGACCAGAAGTCTTTGCTAACTCTGGATACAAGGGAACTTGGTATGGCTGTGATTCAAGCATGCAAGATTCAGACATAGAAAGGAGTGAGCATTGACTTGTTGTTGCCTTCTGACACTTTGCAGTTGTGAACTAATTGTGCTTTGCTTCAGTTTCCAGCTGCAGATGCCCCCAGCCTAACGGAAGCGCTGCCTGGGGAGAACGGGCCCCCCGTTGTGCCAGATGGGCTCCTGTCTCCGCTTCTGACTGAGACAGGGCTGCCCTTTGATCTGGAGCAACAGTGGCAGGACCTCATGTCTATCATGGAAACACAGGTGAGGAGGAGGATTGGCTTCTCTTCACAGATTGCTTTTTTTCTGACCCACCATTGCTTGTCCTGTGTTCCCAGGTGGGTTTACTCTATCTTTGTCCTCCTTTTGTTTGCTTCATACAATGCAGGCTTTGAATGTTGCGTGTAGGCACCTCATCCCAGTACTTAGTTTGTAACATCTATCAGGCATGGGCAAACTTTGGCCCTCCAGGTGTTTTGGACTTTAACTCCCACAATTCATGACAGCCGGTAGGAATTGTGGGAGTTGAAGTCCAAAACACCTGGAGGGCCAAAGTTTGCCCATGCCTAATCTATATACACAATTCCCTATGAAGAACTAGATGGAAGAACCCTAAAAACCAGTGGGTTCTGTTCATTCTTCAGAAGCAAAACAAGCTCATATTTCTTTAAACAAACTAGCAAGGCCGAGGGAACGCGAGGCATTTGCTGCAGGAGAAGTCCAAATAAAAGTAGTGATACTGCAGCCCAGGAGCCAGTGCAGCCTGGAGGATAATTCCTTCCTTTTCAAAGCAATGCAGTAGCAGGATGCATGGGTCCTAATGATCATCATTGTCACCTCAAAAGGACACATTTCAACACCGGGTTGCAATTTTGTGCCCCATTTCAAAATCCCATCTGTCTGCTAATAAGAATTTTTTTACCGCAGCCACTCTCTCTTTCCTTTTCTGAACAAGCCCTATGAGGAGTGGCTTAAAGAGCTGGGCATGTTCAGAAGAGAAGGCTGAGAGGAGACATGATGGCCATGTATAAATATGTGAGGGGAAGTCATAGGGAGGAGGGAGCAAGCTTGTTTTCTGCTACCCTGGAGACTAGGATGTGGAACAATGGCTACAAACTACAGGAAAGGAGATTCCACCGGAACATTAGGAAGAACTTCCTGACTGTGGGAGCTGTTCAGCAGTGGAACTCTCTGGAGTGTGGTGGAGGCTCTTCCTTTGGAGGCTTTTAAGCAGAGGCTGAATGGCCATCTGTCGGGGGTGCTTTGAATGCGATTTCCCTGCTTGTTGGCGGGGGGTTGGACTGGATGGCCCAAGAGGTCTCTTCCAACTCTATGCTTCTATGAATCTCATAATGCTTTTAATTGCTGGCTTGTCAGCTTTGATATTTAGGGGACACACACCCAGCTGTTAGACCCCCCACCCCCAATTGTAGCATAAGCTCATTTTGGAGGACTACAGCTACCAACATCTTCTTGACTAAGAAATACTGTGAGCTCCCCTCCCTTGAAAACGTGTACAAAGCAATTTGCTTAAAGGCGTTCTCATCAAGAAGGATCCCATATATGTTTTTTTTTTGCCAAGGACAAATTGGAAAGAAAGAGACAGACAGATAAGACACAGAAGCATTGGACTAATATGAATCATAACCTAGTTATGGGTCTCTTGATAGATGGACAGTGATTGTCAGTAAGCATTGTACTTTATTGTCCAAGCCTTTGGTGTGGAATTCCTGATACATTTTCAGAAGAAGGCTTTTATTCTAATACTGTGTGCGTTTTTGACAAGAAAAAGTTCTATCATGTACCTAACGTCCCATAGTCACAATTTTAGAGTGGGAGGTATTTACTTTTGATGCCTCTGGGCCCCTCTCTTTGTTTCTTGCTCTGTTCATGAATGAATCTAAGGGAAGTGTTTGGAGTCTGAAAATATCAGTTTCTCTTTCAGGGTATGGAGGTGAACAGCACAGCGGCTGCAGAGAACCTGTACAACAGCACAGGGGACCTCCTAACAGCCAACTACAGCCTTGCCCCATCCACCCCCATCAACCAGAATGTTAGCCTGCATCAGGCTTCCCTGGGCAGCTGTGGGCAAGACTTCCCTTCCCTGTTCCACTCCGAGATTGAGAGCATTTCTATGTCTGGCAGTTCGGCTTTGTTGCAGCTGGTCCCTGACAACTCCACTGGTTTTAACACCACATTTGGCTCTACCAACCTGAGTGGCATCTTCTTTCCTCCTCAGTTGAACGCCACTGTTAATGAAACATCTGAATCTGAACTCCCCGATCCTCTTGGAGGACTTTTGGATGAAGCCATGTTAGACGAGATCAGTTTGATGGACTTGGCTATTGAAGAAGGCTTCAACCCAGTGCAGGCCTCCCGCCTGGAAGAGGAGTTTGACTCCGACTCGGGGCTCTCTTTGGATTCAAGCCACAGCCCCGCTTCTCTCAGCAGCTCAGAAGCTTCGTCGTCCTCATCGTCCTCCTCTTCTTCTTCAGCCTCTTCCTCCTTTTCTGAGGAAGGTGCTGTGGGCTACAACTCAGACTCTGAAAATGTGGATTTCGAAGATGCTGAAGGAGCTGTTGGGTATCAGCCAGAATACAACAAGTTCTGTCGGATGAGCTACCAGAATCCTTCTCAGCTGCAGTACCTGCCTTATCTGGAGCATGTGGGCCACAACCACACTTACAACATGGTCCCCAGGACCTTAGAAGCCGATGAGCCGGAGCCAGCCAGCATGGGCAAGAAGAGCGCCAAGGACAAGCAGGCCGACTTTTTGGATAAGCAGGTGAGCCGAGATGAACACCGAGCCCGAGCCATGAAGATCCCCTTTTCCAATGAGAAGATCATCAACTTGCCTGTGGAGGAATTCAATGAACTCCTGTCCAAATACCAATTAAGCGAAGCCCAGCTGAGTCTGATTCGGGATATCAGGAGGCGGGGCAAGAACAAGATGGCTGCTCAGAATTGCCGTAAGAGAAAGCTGGACACTATCCTCAACCTGGAACGGGATGTGGATGATTTGCAGAGAGACAAGTCAAAGCTGCTCAGGGAGAAGGTGGAGTTCCTCAGGTCCATCCGCCAGATGAAGCAGAAGGTGCAGAGCCTTTACCAGGAAGTGTTTGGCCGCCTGCGTGATGAGAATGGCCAGCCCTATTCCCCAAATCAGTATGCCCTCCAACACGCCAGCGATGGCAGTGTTATCCTAATACCACGCTCCCTGGCTGAACAGCAGGGCCGGCGTCAAGAGAGGAAGCAGAAAGACAGGAGGAAGTGAGAGATACTGAAGGTCAGCAAGAGAGTGCAGAACTTGCTGAAACTACATCCTGGAGGAGGGCTGAGCCCAGAAGAATTTGAAGGAACTTTCCTGCCTTCGTATCCAATATATCTTCTCAAACCATGATAGCTGCCAGTCAGTGTATAGGAGCAGACTGCAGGGCGGGGGGCCTACACGTCTCGGGAGGCAGAAAAGCAAAGCATGTTGGGAAAGACCTGTGCCCCCAGCAGCCTAGAACCCGTTGTTGAACGTTGTGGGAGGGGGGGGAACTAGCTGGCATAATATGTGTGTGGGGAGGGGGGTGAGTTTCAGCAAAGGATAGAAAAATATGAATTGTTAAAGCTGGCTCTTGTTTCTAAGGAAAAATTGGTTAACTGGATTGAGCAGGCTTCAGATTTTTTTCCTTTGAATTCCAAAATGTGGATACTTCAGGTAGCTGGTTTTCTTATTTTTTAGAACCAGTTTTGACATCAGTTGTGTGCAGTTTGGAAACATGATTGAATGCCATGACTTCATCCCTTCCTAGGTCTGTACTGACTGAGCTACTACAGGTGGACCCCTGACGTTGTTTATTTTAAGAGGGAAGGGAGATGCTTTCTTAACCCTTTCCAGTTTGAAGGACAGCAAGATTCAAGGCGTATAGCCTTTTGGGGGACTTTAGCATCCGCCATATGTGTTTGGAAGGCGACTGGAGAGGGTTAACAAATTGTCGTGGTGTTGTGTCTTCCCACCAACCCCTCTCCTCACCAATTGAAAACTCACTAAGCATGTCACTGCCCACAGTGAGGAGCTAGGCCACCATCTAGATGCATTACCAGATGGTGCATGGTAAAACTGCATGCTACAATGCTGTCTTTTCCCACTGGTTGGCTTGGCGAGACTTGCTTTAGGTGACAAGGGATAAACAGGTCAGGTGAAAAGGTTGCACCTTCACCTCGTTGGAGTTGCAAGGTGGGAGTCTGATGGTTTGTGGTCATTGCCACTTGGTCTACAGCACAATGGGTTTTGTTCCCATAAAGCGGGCATGTTGTATTGAGAGAATAGCCATCTGTGGCATGCCCCTTTCTTAATGGGCACTTTGACTTTAATTAATTTATTATTATTATTTTTTAGGATTCTGTGCTCCTGTGTTCCTTCCCCTTTTCCCTGTAGGGCTGTAGGATGAACTTGTAATATGCATGTGAGAAGGAAGGGAGAGGATCAAAGCTGCTGATCGTTTTTTTCTGCCATAAAAGACTCAAAATGTGTTAACTGTGATTCCACAGCTGGCTTCCCTTTTGTCCTTGGATGTCATTCCAACTTTTCCCTCCTCCCCCTCCTTTAAAAAAAAAAAGGCGAAGGGTGAGGGTAGTGCCTTGAACACAGCTGGCCTCAAGCTCCGAGGCCGTCCTCCTCGGAACTGTTCACTTGCAGTATAGCACAGCTGGGAGTATGACCGACCTTACCAGCAACTGATGATGAGTTAATGGCTTTGGTTTTTCCCCCAGCCTGTTAGTCCTGTGTATGTGATGGCGTGTGAGAGCAGAGCACTGAGATGGGCGTCCTCCAGCCAGTTGTGGGGGGCATGAGGCTTTGCTTGTCCAGCAGAGGGCAATTTTGTAGCCAGATGTTCCATAGATCTTGCTTTCCGAAGGCCGCGATTTCTTGAAGGGAAAAGCATGTGGGTGGGTGGGGGAGTAAACCATTGTTTGATTCTCTTGCACCTCTGTTGCTCCTGTGAATTGTCAGTGTGAAACTTGAAGCACAAAATGTGTTGGAGCTGGAGCTGGTTGCTGGATGGTTAGGATGGAGCCCTGATGTGTGCATGTGTTAATTTATATTTTCCTTTGAGGTTTTCCTTTGGGTGGTTTCAATGACCTGTTATGGAAAAGGAGAGAGAGAGAAAGAGAGAGAGAGAACGAGAGAGTGTGTGAGCACAGGACAAAAATAAAATGGCTTATTCACTATTTCAGCAGTTGTTTTGTGTCTTTCTTTAAAAGGCAAGAATCCAGTGGTTACAAACAGAACTCAAGAGGAACGTATTGCCTAACCTGCCTTCACAGCAATTTGATGTAATCTGTGGGGCAAATTTTGGTAATGGGTTTGAAAATAGCTACCAGCTTTGGTTGTGAACAGAATTATTAATATCCATTAGCAAAAAGAATGAACACAGCATTTCCTATTCACTGATAAAACATACCTCTATTAAACTGTTTTTATGATTTTCAGGGTTATCCCCTAATATTTATGGAAACCTGGGGCTTTAGTGTTGCATCGTTTGCATTTAATTTGAATACATTTTGTATGTTGATTTGGGCTGCTTGTGTTTTCACATCACGTTATGATGGGATGTTGACCACTCTATGGCTTTTTTACCTGGCTTTCCCCTCTCTGAGTGAATCAATTGAGTATCAGTACATTTCAGGGCATGGTGAAAATGTCACCCAACTCTGTTCCAAATGTGGGGCAGAGGAAGGAGCCTTACCCAGAGATAACTTGATCACCAGTGTTAATCAAGTAATGTATTGGTGGTGTTGTTGTTGTATAAAAGACAATTGTTCATTTGTCTAACCTTCTATAATAAGGTGTTTTGAATGAGCCTGAATATAAGCACAATGGCAGGTATATAAGGTACCTCGTTCAATATGCTCAGAACAAGTTCTGGACTGAAGATGCACGTTCTCAGATGGTCAGATCATTTATAATTAATGGAATAAAAGATGAAGATTTGGGCACTCATTGGGGGGAGATTAGTACACATCAAATGGTTGGGCAACTGTCAGGGACTAGACCCGAGATGAACTACATAGGATTTCCTGGGCAAGGAATACTTAAGAGGTAGTATGGGTTGTCAGTCTTCTATCCAAGTACTAACTGGAGCTGAGCGCCTGAATAACTAGAATAGGGGCTCTGTGCATTATTTAGACATTGATACCAGTGAGGACAACTCATTGGATCGCACAAGTCATAGCAAACATATATTGCACTTCCAGGAATTTTCAGCTTTTTTTTTTTTTTGTCGTGTCAGGAGCATCCTGTTGTGAGAGAATTGGCCGTCTGCAAGGACGTTGCCCAGGGGACGCCTGGATGATTTTTGATGTTTTATCATCCTTGTGGGAGGCTTCTCTCATGTCCCTGCATGAGGAGCTGGAGCTGATAGAGGGAGCTCAACCGCCTCTCCCCGGATTTGAACCTGCGACCTGTCGGTCTTCAGTCCTGCCAGCACAGGGCTTTAACCCACTGTGCCACCGGGGGCTCCCAATTTTCAGCTGCACACATTAAATACTCCCATACATCCATTGGAAGTATGGGGGGTGATTTTTACCAGGTTTTTAACCACCCACTAAAGCTGTTTTAGGCTATGGAAACACTTTTAACAGGACGTAACCTAGTTGTTGAATTTTGGATTACTTCTTGTAGAAAAGGCCCTATCAGGGCCTAAAACATGATGACATTGCCACCTAGAAGGCATTGAGAGGCATTTGGAGCCAAAAGGTGTCTTTTTGGACTTTAGCTTTAAAAACTAGCTTTGTGATGTATTGTCGAAGGCTTTCATGGCTTGAATCACTAGGTTGTTGTAGGTTTTTCTGGCTGTATGACCATGTTCTGGAAGCATTCCCTCTTGACATTTCACCTGCATCTATGAGGTCCTCACAACCTGAGGATGCCTGCCATAGATGCAGGCGAAACGTCAGGAGAGAATGTTTCTAGAACATGGCCATACAGCCTGAAAAACGTACAACCTAGCTCTGATCTTTCTCCATCCCTCCCCTTAAAGGAATGCTCTTCAGGGGTTTAACCAGCTAAGTCACAAGTGAAACGTGGTAATGTTTGTAGCTTAAGACATCAGAACGGAGGACAAAGGACTTTATTCTTTACTAAGAAACATTTCGGTGAGATTCTGTGAGAAAAAGAATTCTGTATGCTATTGATTAGAGGTCAAAGGGAGGTCACTTAAACCAAAACATTAAAAAATCCTATTTCAATGATGGTTGGAATTCAAAATTGTTGCTCTGTATTTTTAAACAAGGAGATGCAGCCTTAGCAGTGTTGTCCAGAATGGGTGATTGTCTTTTCCCCTGTGGACCGTTTTCCTTCTACATAAGGAAGTGAGAAGATAAATGAGAAAAGAGGCTGCAGGAAAGATCTTATCTGCCAAGTGTGGAATAAATTAACTTCAGCCCATTTTCGTTTTTAAAAAGGAAACACTACTAGACTACAGAGGTCTGTAATACACATCTTATTTTTCAGGCTTTGCTAGCCTTGAGTCCTGTAGACATACTTTGTATCTTTCCCAAGACTGCTGTTTCCATTCTGCACTATGGGAATGATTATGGCCTGCTTTGATAAGTCTTAGGCTGAAGACATATTTTCTGTTTTGAAGAACAAAGTAAGTGATCTACACTTAATGCCTGTTTAAACAGACTTTTCTGCTGAAGGGACATCATCATTTTGTTGCAGTTTATTCATTCAGTCGGACTCTGTGACTCCATGGACCAGCCCAGGCCAGAGCTTCCCATCAGCCGTTCCCACCCCCAGCTCCTTCAAAGTCAAGGCAGTCACTTCAGGGATACCATCCATCCAACTTGCCCATCTAGCCCTTCCTTTTTCCTTCCATTTTCCCCAGCATTATTTATCTTTGTTTGCCTCTAATATCCATCCTTCCAGTTGGGCTTTATTTCCAGGAGTATGGACTGAAGCTGCTGAGTCCCCTTCGGGGTGAGAAGGGCGGCATATAAATGTAATAAATAAATAGTAATAAATAATCGTCTTGTGCTCCAAGGCACTCTCAGAATGTTCCTCCAGCATCATAGTTCAAAAGCGTCTATATTCCTTTGCTCAGCCTTCCTTATGGTCCAGCTCTTACATCCATAGGTTACTACGGGGAATACCATTGCTTTAACTATGTGGATCTTCGTTGCCAGTATGATGTCTCTACTCCTCACTCTTTTATCAAGACTGACAATTGCTCTCCTCCCAAGAAGTAAATACCTTCTGATTTCCTTCCTGCAGTCAGCCCCTCTTCCTTTTTCCTTCCATTTCCCCCAGCATCATTGTCTTCTCCAAGCTCTCCTGTCTTCTCATTATGTGGCCAAAGTATTTCATCTTTGACTCTAATATCCTTCCCTCCAGTGAGCATTATTTCCAGCATTTTAGTTTACTATTTTTGACTAACTGAAGTAGAGAAGTTGAGAGGTTAAAACAAGCTAAAGGATTAGTTGCTCCTATAGAAGTCTTCCCACGCAATAAAGGTATTTGTTGAAACTATATCCAACTGACCAATAAGGAACAAAAAGTTTTCTAAAACCTGGCACTAGAAATTCTATTCCAGAGTTGTATTATGAAGGCCATCTCTATTCTTAGCTATTTAACACTGAATGTGACCTCTTTTCTGTCTGTTCATTCTCTCAGGTTTTAATTGCACATGTTTTGTCATAACTGTCACATAAACTGAGAATTCCCTTGTTTAGTCTCTGTCTATCTCCAATAGAAGTGTTAAGATAAACCCTCAGAGCAACGGCAGTGATGTAGAAAGGAACTAGTGCATGAACAATCCCTCCATTACACAGCCATGCAATATCTGCGCAAACAAAATGGGGCAAGGAGCAGGAATGAGACTTACAACATGCACTGATCTAAGATGTCCCAGTATTCTGATTTTGCAGCATACAGCTGCATTTAATAGCAAGATCTGTCAACTATGTCTCCCTCCAGCTTTTTAGGGTTGACATATGCAAAATGTGTGATGTTCTTTTAGTAGCAGGAGAAACAACATCTCACTTACCAAATCTTGGCTACACCGCTTCAATTTCTGAAAAATTTACAAAGAAAGCCTTTCACCAGAGGAAAAGGAAAAATGGAGCCCAGGGCTATAAATCTAAAGTTTTATTGAGACAAAAAGACAGCTCAGTATGAAATTAAAACTGAAACACTTTAAGGTTTTAGACAACATTTTCACAGTAACCTAAAACACATGCTTTTATTTTTTTAAAAAAAGGTTTGTACAATACATTTCTACGTACATACTGTCCTGTGAAAGAGGAAGAGTTGATGGTGTGCGAAGGTTCAGCAAAATGATAACCTTTGAAAAACAAAAATCTATATTAAAAATGAAATTATGGAGGACCAGAGCAAGGAAACAATCACTAATGCCCAAATCTGATCGGAAGATAGCTGTGTCAGTATATTGAATCCCTTGTGCTGTAGAGGTAAGTTTCAACCAACTCTTCTCCCGTTTCCAATAGACGGATTCTCAAGTTAACCTACATACAGGAAAATAAAAATCAGGCAGGACTCCCAAATTGCTGGACGGAGGGCAAAAGAGAAACCACAATGCAGTGGAAATGGGGAAAAAAATTCATTTGATAAATGACTACTTTATTAAAATACCCATGGAAGCTCTTTCCTCTTAATTTTAGGGTGACAATTACAGGAGCTGCCTACATAAATGGTTTCAGCGTCATGTGATCATTTTTTCACTTGACACATTTGCACCAGCATTTCAGTTAAAAGTATTCCAAATTCACTTACAGCGGGCATGGGCAAACCTGGGCCCTCCAGGTGTTTTGGACTTCAACTCCCACAATTCCTAACACCCTACTGGCTGTTGGGAATTGTTAGAGTGAAGTCCAAAACACCTGGAGGGCCCAAGTTTGCCCATGCCTGGGGCTTAGGTTTTTCTAAAAATGGTGCCTGTGGCTATACAATGCTGTGAACCACTCCCCACCCCAAATCAATCAGGATGCACCCTCCCTTACCATCCCAACAATACACCAAGTATAGCCAAAACAAAAAAGAAATCTACACACATGCTAAACTGTAAAAAACGCAGTTAACACTATATGGGGTGAAAGGCTGTGATATCACAGAGATGGTCTTTGAAGAACAGGCAGCCTCCACCTGCTGTCTCTTCAGCAGCCAGTGCAGCCCTCAGGCTTTCTTGCATGGATTTGTTTTTGCTTCATCTCCCCAAGCAAGGAACAAGCTTGGAAACACTCGCCCATTCTCCCCTCCTTCCTTCCCCATGTAAATGTAACTAAGGAAGGAAGGTAGGTGGGCAAGTGTGCTGCTTTTTGGAACTGTTGAGGGCACAGAAATTGTCCTGTTTCTACGGAGGGCATCTTCCCCAGGCAGGACCCTCTCTGCTTCCTCTCATATATGTTCACACCCAAAGTCTGATGTTTCAATACAAAAGTTGGGCAGAGGAGAGAAGGGGCAAGGAGGGCGAGCCAGTTAGTTCTTGTCGTCTTTCTTGTCGTCATCCTCTGAGGGGTAGGAGTGCCATGTCAGCCGCTCCTCATAGAACGAGATGACCACTTGCGGGCACTTGATGTTGGCTTCCTTGGCAGGGACTAGATCGGCTTCATCAGAGTTCTTCCTGCAGAGGCGAGTGGAAAAGTAACTGGGATATATTGGGGGACACGGAATGAAGGTTCATGCTCACTATTACACCATTAAAATCCTATATAAATCATTAAAATGCGACATATATCAATGGTGAGATACTTCATTAAAATCTATATAAATAAAAATGTAATGTTCGTTTGTGGGATTAACAGAACTCATAAACCATTGGATGAATTGACACCAAATTTGGATACAAGACACCTAACAACCCAATGTATGTCCTTCACTCAAAAAATTGATTTTGTCATTTGGGAATTGTAGTTGCTGGGATTTATAGTACATCTACAATCAAAGAGCATTCTGAACTCCACCAATGATGGAATTGAACCAATCTTGGGACACAGAACTCTCATGACCAATAGAAAATACTAGAAGGGTTTGCTGGGCATTGATTTTGAGTTTGGAAGTTGTAGTTCACCTACATCCAGAGAGCACTGTGGACTCAAAACAATGATGGATTTGGCACGAATCCTCAATTTGCCCAAATGTGAATGCTGGTGGAGTTTGGGGGAAATAGACCCTGACATTTGAGAGTTGTAGTTTCTGGGGTTTATAGTACACCTACAATCAAAGAGCATGCTGAACACCACCAACAACAGAATTGGGGCAAACTTCCCACACAGAACCCCCATACTTAAGGCCATCCAGTCCAACTCCCTTCACCAGGGCAAGAAAATGTAATCAAAGCCCTCCTGACGAAGAGCCATCCAGCCATAGATATAGATAGATATATATATATATGATTCACACACAGGGAGATATAGTATCATAGATATGAAAGGGACTCCTAAAGAAGGACAATTATATGTCGCATGTTCCAGAGTAGGCAAATCAGACAATCTCCACATCAACACTGACAGAAACAACAAGGAATACTGTTTACCCACAAGCATAAAGGAATTACATATATTAGAAACCATTACTTTATTTTCCAGATCACCAGACTGGGCCACAGTAATGTGTGGCAGAGGACAGCTAGTACTACGTAAGATACTGCATGGACTAGCACCTGCATAACTAAAACCAGGTAAAACCAAGTAAATACAGCATTATTAAAACTTAAGCAGGGAACACGTTGGCTATAAAAAGTCACTATTAGTTAAAAGCATCCCCAGCATAGTGTATTTTATATCATTTATTTATTATTCAAACTTATATGCCGCCACTCCCTTGGGGCTCAGAGCGGCTTACAAGAACAGGCTAAAATCTAACACAATTTAAAAACAATTTAAAAACAGCAATATCAAAGATCAATGGCCTGTCGAAACAGATATGTCTTACATTCCCTGCGGAAAGCTGGTAAGTCCCGCAAGGTATTGTATTTAATAATCTGGTTTTCATGTATTTGTTTGCCTTATATGTGAAAGACTTATAGTCTAAGCAGCAAATAAATTTGAAACTATTAAAATATTCTTGCAGAGGGCAGACAAAGCTGCCGAATGTAATGTACAGTGGCAAAAAGAGTGCACCTTTTGCAGCTGCGAATTACATTCGGCAGCAAATACTTTTTTTAGTTTCAGGGTTTTGAAAATTGGGGTGTGCAACAGACTTGAATAAATACAGTGCTCATTATTATATAGAGGTTCCCCCATCTTTGAGGTATGAAGAGAAACATACCAATGCAAGTAGATCAACTAGATACCTTATGATGTAACTTGCTATGATGAGAGGCGGGCAAGAAATATAATAATATTATTAATATGAATAATAATACCTTTTGATGCTGTTAGAGCAAGCTATGTGGCAAGGTGTCCGTCCCCCCCAAAATATATTGAAACTTCTTGCTTTCCCGCCAATTCTTTTTTCCAATTTAGATAGAAGAGATGAAAGCAGAAAAGACTGGCTGAGACTTTAATCCTAATTCCTGTACCACCCCATATTGTCAATGTGTCTCCCTCCTTACTGCCAGCCCCTCAATAACTACAACATCCCACAAAGAAGTCATGTGGACAGTGGCCCAACTGTCCCTTTCATTGTTGTCACTGATTCAGAGCTCAGTTAGTTATTGAATTACAAACAGAAACCCTATTACATTAAAGTGAAAAGTAGTGAAATGCAGCCCTGGCCATTATAGGTAAATGCTATTCTACATCGTTGCTGCAAAAACAATTAGCTATCAATGTACTTGTTGGAAGGAACACATTATTGCCAAGATCTGCCAGTGGATTATGTCAGTGCTTTTCATAATGAAAAGCAGTCATGGACAATCTGGACCAAGAAAATGAACCATATGATCTCTTGGCTGCCTATTTCACTCTCCAAAAGTTTAACTTCAGGACTATGATGGCATAGCATTTTATGGATCAGACATACCATTTCATAAGGAACATGAGCTCTCCACTGGAATCTGTAGCACCAATGATCCGTTCTGGCTCAAATCCTCTTGAAAAACCGCGAGGCTTTTCAGACTGAAGAAAGAAAGAAACCAAGAATTTTTGCAACAACTGCCAAAAGGTGTGACTTACAAGTGTGGAATTTGTGTTAACCCTCAGGTGCTACTGGGACCAGACTCCCAGCATCCCCACCACGGGCTATTCTAGGTATGGCTACTGGAAATTACAGCCCCAAATCCCACTCCTGCTTTACAAACCCCAGTGCCATTTGCTTATACAAAATAAACCTAATACAACCCTAGAGTTGGGCTGCCCAACTAATAAAAAGAAATATGATGGGTTGCTGTGAGTTTTCAGGGCTGTATGGCTATGTTTCAGAAGCATTCTCTCCTGATGTTTCTCCCACATCTATGGCAGGTATCCCCAGAATGTCCAGAGTGGAAGAAAGAACTCTTGTCTGCTTGATTTCACAGATATATAAATTGCACTTGCCTAGTTTCCAAAAGACCCCATAACTTCTGAGGATGTCTGTCACAAATGTGAGCGAAATATCAGGAGATAATGCTTCTGGAACATGGCCACACAGCCCGAAAAACTCACAGCAACCCAGTGATTCTGGCCATGAAGCCTTTGACAACACACAGAAATATGATACCTGCTGTGTGTGTGGTTTTTGTTTTTTTGTTTGGACTTCATTTAAAGAAAAGGAGTGAAGGGGAAGAGAAAAAACAAAGGAACACATGCAAATACATTGGAAACATGAACTGTGAGAAAAGGAAGCTAATGAAGATACAACAGAATGGAAATGTTGAAAAAACTAATGGCCAAAGGGAGGGTTTTAAAAAGCGTGAGCCGAAAGGTATGAAGGAAGCAGCAAGGAAAAAACTACTGAACATCTGAAGAATTTTACATACCAAATGCTGTGAACTCTGGCTATTTCTTAACCATCCCAAATAATTATCTTAAAGAAAAGGGAATGGACAAAGTCCAAGTCAGTGGTTCTTAAGCTGTGGACCGTGACGATGAAAATCTGGTCCGCAAGCATCCTTCCTCTTTAATTCCACTCCTTTCACACCGCCTGCCACTCTTCCCTGTTGCTGACTATGGTATATGTTCTGTATCAGAAACTAGAGCAGATGTGATCTATCCATCGCAATTTTCTGAATCAGCAACCCAAACTGAATCTAAAGTTGGCCAAAACCCAATTGTAACCCTTTTGGTACTAATGTTGGAGAGTGATCCCTGGGCAAATAAAATGTTGGGAACCACTGGAAGGCCACATTGGTCCACACTCTGGCTACATCCTGAATAGACTACTGCAACGCTCTCTACGTGGGGCTGCCTTTGAAAACTTCTCTAAAGCTCTAATTAGTCCAGCGGTTGGTGGCCAGGTTGTTAACTGGAGCTGCGTACAGGGAGCGTACCACTCCTCTGTTGCACCAGCTCCACTGGCTGCCGATTAGCTTCCGGGCACAATTCAAAGTGTTTGTTTTAACCTTTAAAGTCCTGAACGGTTCTGGCCCAGATTACCTGTCCAAATGTATCTCCTGCTATGAACCATCACAAAGCTTAAAATCATCAGGAGAGGCCCTGCTCTCGATCCCACCACTCTCGCAAATGCAGTTGGTGGGGATGAGAGACAGGGCCTTCTCGGCAGTGGCCCCCTGTATGTGGAACTCTCTCCCTAAGGATATCAGGTTGGCCACCTCCCTCCTGTCCTTTAGAAAACAACTGAAGACCTGGTTTTGGGGCCAGGCGTTCGATTAGAGACCAGCAGCAATAGGAAAAGGAAATTTGGATTTTGCGACATGGGACTCTCCTGGCTCGGCTTGATTTTACTGGCACGTTAATCTATTAATTTATTGTTAAATTTTAGTGATGATGTTGTACAATGTTTTAAAATGATTTTATTGTGAATAGCAATTTTTATGGTATTTATGTTGTTAGCATCCTCTGATGCTCATGTGAGGCCGCACTGAGTCCTCCTTGTGGGGAGAAGGGCGGAATATAAATAAATAAATAAGGCTGAGTGAAGGAATATAGATACTTTTGAACTGTGGTGTTGGAGGGAAGTTCTGAGAGTGCCTTGGACCTCCAGAAGATCCAACCAGTCCATCCTCCAGGAAATAAAGCCTGACTGCTCGTTGGAGGGAAGGATATTAAAGGCAAAGATGAAGTACTTTGGCCACATCATGAGAAGACAGGAAAGCTTAGAGAAGACAACTATGCTGGGGAAAATGGAAGGAAAAAGGAAGAGGGGCTGACCAAGGGCAAGATGGATGGATGGCATCCTTGAAGTGACTGGGGGTGGTGACGGCCGACAGGGAGTTCTGGCGTGGGCTGTTCCATGAGGTCACGAAGAGTCAGAAATGACTGAACGAATGAACAACAAACTGGCCTAAGTAGTAGAACAGAACAGCAAAAAGCCTCCACATTCAAAAGGAAATTTAATCTAGACTTACAAAGAGTGATCCATAAACACACACACACAGCCAATGCTGCCAGGTACTGTTCCTTTCAGTTTAGCAAGCAAGTTCTCTTTCCTTTAACAGCAAGTCATAAACGGCTCCAGTGGGCCACAGAATGACCCTTCCTTACCTCTTCTCGCTTCTTCTTTGGTCTGCTTTCCTCCCCTCTATCCTCAGAGTCTGACTCAGCCTTGCGCTTGCTTCCCTCTGACTTGTCACTCTCGTGTGCCGTTTTCTGGGACTGCAGGAACTCCGCAATGAGGTCGGGGCAATCGAGGTTCTCCTCTGGCTCCCAAGTATTATCTTCACTGCAACCATGCAATTCTTGTTAGGCAGAACTACACAACCCAGATTTTGCAGTTAGTTTTATGCCTATGTCATGTAAGCAATATCAGAAAAAGTAGTTTTGACCATTAACTTCAACATTCCTGATGCGAGTCAACAGTAATGAGTTTCTCTAGAAGCAAGAGGAAGAGTTCATACTGGAATCCTGACACTGCGGCTGCGATTTCACAGAAACAGAGTTGGAAGAGACCTCGTGGGCCATCCAGTCCAACCCCCTGCCAAGAAGCAGGAAAACTGCATTCAAAGCACCCCTGACAGATGGCCATCCTGCCTCTGTTTAAAAGCCTCCAAAGAAGGAGCCTCCATCGCACTCTGGGGCAGAGAGTTCCACTGCTGAACAGTTCTCACAGTCAGAAAACTCTTCCAAATGTTCAGGTGGGTATCTCCTTTCTTGTAGCTTGAAGCCACTGTTCCACATCCTAGTCTCCAGGGCGGCAGAAAACAAGCTTGCTCCCTCCTCCCTATGACTTTGTCTCACATACTTATACATGGCTATCATGTCTCTGTGGAAACTTTTGGAAGTGTGGAAGCAAGTCAACTCTGCAACTACTCAAAGCTGCAAAACATGAGAATGTAACTTAGTTTAACTTGAGGATAGTGGAATACAGAGAGAAGGGGGAACATGGGTCAGGGCCAAGCAACCAAGATTTCAGCTGTTAATTGTTGACTTCAAATTTGGTCTCATGAGATGGTCTTAGAAAAAAAATATCTGGATAAAGGAAGAAAAGTGAGGAACATTCACCCTTGAGGACAGGTGTGAGAAATGTGTACAGGGCTACACTGTCTTTTGAGGGTGACTGAAGACACTTTTAGATACAAGCACTTAGATATGTAGAATTACTCTCCAGCAACAACTAGTCTGAGACTCAAACAGAGATGCTCTGAGACAGAGTATTATTAAGAATACACCCATTTTTAGCATCACCTAACACTTGCAAGAGCACATTCTAAATAATGAGCCACTATCCTTTAAAGCCCTATACTAATTTTGAAAAAGCTAATGTATTGCAATGAGACCATGCTGGCAAATTGAAAGGGGAAAGACTTTGGGGTTTTTTTAACGACGAAAGTATTCACCAAAATAAGAACAGCACCAAGTATGTTGTTTAAACAATCACAAATATAACACAATACAATTCTTCTGGGGTGAAGCCTTACTCTGAAAAGCCTTTCCACTTCAGTAGATATTCCACTTTGCCTTTTACCACCCGCCTGTCAAGGACCTTTTCCACTACATATTCTTCCTCCTCTTCTTCTAGGACCTCCTCCACTTTCTTCTTGTTTTGTTTTTTTCCCATTGTGGTCGCCATTTTTGCAGTTTAAAGGAGGCTGTTAGAGAAAAGCAAACAGACATGAAGATGGAAAATTCAGATTGTAAAACAGTAACTGCTAGTACTAGTCAGAACGACCTCTCCAGTCATTAAAATTCACTGCTTTATTGTAACATTTTAAAGCAAACCATGTCAAGTCAAAGATGTACTAGTGGAAGATGTACAGTGGTAGAAATAGTGTTTAGAAGACATATTAAAGGAAAATGAATAAAAGTAACAGATATAACATAATTACCAATTGCAGCCCACATCTTGCTGCTGCTTACAGTAGTGATAATGCTAGCAATAACACTATCTATTCATATAAACAGTAACATATAAGCCTGGTAGGTGGGGGCGAGAGAAGACCTTTCTCTGTGGTGCCCCCCCCCCCCCGGCTCTGGAATATCCTCCCAAAAGAGATTAGATTAGCACCCACCCTTCAACCCTTCTGTTCCAACCTGAAAACACTGATGTTTAAACAGGCCTTTGACCTTGAGTAGGCTGAATGGCCCCATATGAAGCTGACACTTGCACCTTGTGAACTGACAGCAGTTGATTTTATCTACTGTTGTTTTAAAATTGTATTATTTTGATTCTATGCTACATGTGTTGACGGGGGTTGTTATAATTTTATGTGACTTATCCTTTGTACCGCTTTTACCTATTGGTATGTTATATGTGCACCCTGGAGTGCCTTGTAAGCCATCCCGAGTCCCTTCGGGAGATAGTGGCAGGATATAAATAAAGTTTTATTATTATTAACACAATTAAGTCAAGTGTACCATACGAATCCCGCAGCTTGAATGCCACTACTGCCAGATACTTATCCAATCCCTTGTACTCTCTACCAACCCTGGAATGCAGCAAAAAAAGCATGATGATGATRATRATRATRATRATRATAATAATAATAATAATAATAATCCTGGGAAGGCTTTGGTTGTTGCAGAGAGAAATCAACCTCCACGTTAAACAGAAAAAGACGTACACAGGCACAAGGTGGAATTAATGCTTGAGTTTGTCACTGACAGGATGCAATCCAGATAGTAAAGCAATGGCTGAAAATTTATTTATCACATTTATACCCCATCCTTCTCAGCCCGAAGGGGACTCAGAGAGGCATTACAAGAAGGCAAAATTTGATGTTGCACAAATACATACAGATAAAATAAATGTAGTAAAAACCAAAAGTTAAAAACATCAAACATTAAAACCAATCATTAAAACCACATAGTCCAAAAACATAATCCACCATACAATGCCAATACAGCTCATGTGTGAATCAGTCCCTCTATCTCCTCAAAGCACCACTGCACTAAAATGTAATTAATGATGTTCCTTACCACTGCAGATTATGAGACAGATAGCCACACTATCTACAATTGGACACACTTGCTCAACACATTTTATCTTCCAGAGCCAGATTTCTTTGTTCCAAATGGGAATGTTTATGGGTTGCAACTATGGTTTTTCCTCCCAAAAAGCAACAGGATCTGCAGGAAGCAAGTATAATTTTGCACCATTGTGCTGCGCCCATTTTGAAAACCAAAACCAATGCATCTGATTATATGGTAAACACAGTAGTAGAGGGAAAAGGCACCCACAAGTTGTGGATCACCACAAAGGCACCCAGAAAGCAGGGGATATTAAACAGCTTGTGTCTTCTGGAAATGGAAGTTGCAATCTACCAGAAAAAGAAAACCGGCTGGCCTCCTGGAGGCAAAGCATCTCTCAGTAGGAGGATGTGCTTGTGTCTGTTGGGTGTCGGATAAAAGCCGCCAAGCACAGCCAGGGGTTAAGAGGAAATGGGCCTAGTTTGAAGTGAAAGATAGTTGAGGAGAGTGAGCGAGAGAGGCCAATGAATACCAACAGAAGGGGGAAATTTCTGAAGAGCATGCTTTCACAAAGCTCAAACTGTTATGGCTTGCCCCCCAAATGATTAGGATTGAAAGACCAGATCTCTTTATGACATCTCAGTAGAGGTATAATACTCAATCATGACTGAGTATTATGGTACCACTAAAATAGTAATGGGAATTATTTGCAATTAACTTGGATCCATGCCAGTTTCCAAAATTCCTTCCAGAAAAACTTCAAAAATGGCATGCTCATTTCTGTTTCCAAAATATATAATTGTGTATAGTTTCATAGCACTTCCAAGGTTCAGGATTCTCCAAAGCCTGAGCTGATTAGATTGATATTTGCATAAGAGCAAAGATCCAGCAGAATAACATGCTGGCAATTCTAAATGCAATAAACCATATGCCTAATTTGAAGCTGCATGACAAGCTGGATTGATCCTAATATTTTGAGATTTGTGCCAAAACTTTTCCCTCTGTAATCTGCAGATTTCGTACTGGTTTTAAATATATATTTTTAAAAGAGGATTGCAATGGTCTAGAGATAACAACAACTTTATTATTATACCCCACCACCATCGCCCTGAAAGTACTCGGGATGGTTTACATATGGGACAAAACGACCACAAGGCAGAAATATAAAACAACCCATTAAGGCAAAAATACAATTAAAATAAGAGCATAATAAAATATAATAATGTTCTGTAATTGCCTGTGTCTCTAAAAGATCTGCTCTGTACATAACGTTACGAAACTGTAAACAAGATGAGGCTTTGTCATTTCAATTGATTTTACTAACTTTGTCATCTACCTGGATTGTGTGTAATTCTAAATTTCATTTCATTTAATCCAGGGGTGGGCAACCACATGTTGCTCATCTGGGGCTCACAAGTACACATACATCCCTCTGCTTCCTTTCACGCACCCCTACGTTTCCCCACACCAAAACAGGCTTTCTTTGGTATCTCAGCATCTCAGCATCAATCTATGTGCGCTATGCAAGAGGAGGGACTGCACCCATTAAGAACCAGATTCTTGCTTTCAAAGCTTCTGTCTCTGATGGGAAAACATGGGGGTGCCCTTCCCCCTCCCTTCATTAAGGGAAATATTGCTCTCTCTCCTGCCCAAACTGTGTTAGGAAGCATGACAGATACAGTAAAACCAGATGCGCAGTATGATAAAGTATGATCCCCACACCCAGGTCCAATATCTGCAAGTTCCCTCCTACCCACATTGGAAAAAGTATGTCCTCGCTAGGAATTTTCTAGGGCTTCCAAATGATATTATGGTATGCTTCTGACCACACAGTCTTCTTGGAGGACAGGAATTTTCTAGGTCGTCTAAGCCAACTCTATGGTAGTCATTCATTTTAATAGAGTTCATTGTAGCATACTCCTTATCTTGTCTCCCAAACCCGAAGGCAGTTTGATGATCATGAGGGCTACATGCAGGCCATTTGTTTGGCATATGTCCTCTTAAGTAGAAAGGGAAAGCAGAGTGAAATAGACATATATCTAAACTTATAATATATAGCCATTGTCTAAAATACATGATGCCAATGTAGTTTTAGGGAAAAATATATTGTGCTGGAACAATTCTCCAGTTCTCTTCAGTATATATAGTCCAACTTCAACAAAACAATATTCTAAAATAGTTTTTAATCTGTCTATCTTATGGAATGTTTTAACATGATTATGTGTTTGTTTATGTTTTAGTAATATTGTAACTCACCTCGAGCTGTGAGAGGCAGACAAGAAATAGAACTACTACTACTACTACTACTACTACTACTACTACTACTACTATTACTATTATTCTACCACCAGTCTTTACTTTTCTTCCCAAAAAATGACACAAATCATAGAATCACAGAGTTGGAAGAAACCACAATGGCCATCCAGCCCTTCCTCCTTCCCGACACTAAACCACATGTTGTTTATTTATTTCTCGTTATAACTAACTTTTGATTCAGCATTGCATTCCACATTCTATAGACTCTAGCTCACCTTTCATAGCAAAATGCATTAATATAGGCCCGAGAGGCTGTGTTACATGCATTTTCTGTTCCCAACTGTGATACTAAAAATGCACAAATTGAAGAACATCTAACAGAACCAAGCATTCGATTAATCTGGTGCAACGAAACTGATGAACAAGGATTGGTTAATCACAGACGACGAAATTGGATTGCGACTACAATTAAGAGATGCATTGGATTATTATTGGTGGCCCAATAATATTGTGTATTGTGTATGTGTTTTTATGCTTTTTAATGGAATATTGCTGCTTGTCGTTGTGTTGTAAACCGCGTTGAGTCGCCGATTTAGGCTGAGAAACGGCGGTATATAAGCACAGTAATAAATATAAATAAATAAACCTTGGAATGAAGGGGACACATGTCAAAACACTGTGAGGTGATGATTTACTGTTAAAAAGCCAAACACATAATTCTTTTGAAGCCTTCTTCAGAAGTGTCTAAATCCCATCTGAAGGAATTTTGATTAAACAATTGTATACAATTTAGTGGTGATTAAGCAATTCCCTAAATGCTCTAAAGATCAACACACCATAGGAACCTGGAATGTAAGATCTATGAGCCAGGGCAAATTGGATGTTGTTATTGGTGAGATGTCAAGACTAAAGATAGACATTCTGGGGGTCAGCGAACTGAAATGGACTGGAATGGGCCACTTCACATCAGATGACCACCAGATCTACTACTGCGGACAAGAGGAACATCGAAGAAATGGAGTAGCCTTCATAATTAATAAGAAATTCGCTAAAGCGGTGCTTGGTTACAACCCAAAAAATGACAGAATGATCTCAATTCCAGTGCAAGGAAAGCCTTTCAACATTACAGTGATCCAAATATATGCCCCAACCACAGCTGCTGAAGAAGCAGAAGTAGATCAGTTCTATGAGGATCTGCAGGACCTACTGGATACTACACCAAAAAGAGACATTATTTTCATTACAGGAGACTGGAATGCCAAGGTGGGAAGTCAAATGACAACTGGGATCACAGGCAAGCATGGTCTGGGAGAACAAAATGAAGCGGGACGCAGGCTGATAGAATTTTGCCAGGAAAACTCGCTGTGTATAACGAATACTCTCTTCCAACAACCTAAAAGACGGCTTTACACATGGACCTCACCAG